ATACATATATATATATAAGGTCAATTAATGTATAAAATTATAAAGTCTGTGATCGTTGTATGAAGTTCAAACCAATTGCATGTTTTGGTTAGTGTCCCCTGGATAAAAATATAACCCTATTCAGGAGACACCCTAGACTTGCCACAAGTCCTTAGTTTATTGGGACTTTTTAGTGTTAAATATTTTCGGAGAGCGCCACTAAACATGTTGGTTATGTTGTTGAATTTAAAATGGATGGGAATTAATCCGAGAAAAAGTATACTATGGAACGCCATGTTAATAAGTAATATGGAACGCCATTGGTGCCAAAATGGATTTATTTTTAAAAGTTTTTACCGATTAAGGCAAAATTAGGGACTGGAACCCAGTCTAGAGACACCACTTTTAATTAGACACATTTTTGGTCGTGATGATATCGTTTTAATAGAGGTATACTGTAATATAAGTGTGAATATCTTCACGCATCGAAAATATTAAGAAGATATGGCTATATTATTAGGTGTGATATAGGCCTGCTATATATTAGGTTCACACTTCCGTTCTGGCGAGTCGCGTTGCCAAGCGATAAGGCAGGGGCGGTGCTAACTACTCAACCTTAACATCGGCGCTGGTTCGAGTCGCTCCTCCTCCAGGCTTCGGTTGGTAGAACCAAGTCTTCTCGGACAAGGACTTCAAATAGTGATTCATTGTACACATCTGGCTCATGTGAACTTTAAAAACTCATTGCATCTTTCAGAAGAGTAAGGGGTTACCCCGATGCTATGATTCATTTCAGTCCCTGTCGTTGAGGAATGATGTGTATTTACCACAATAACGATGCGAGTTATGGGCTGTTCTCCTAATCTTACGTACCTACATGTTTGTTAAAACAATTAGGTTACATAAATTTGATTAAAAAAAATAAAAAACAGAAAACTGTTACAATGACGTTTCTATAATGTAGAACAGTTCTTAAAGCACATACCGTATCTTGTAACAAGTCATCGGGCTGAAGATCTGCCTTGTTGAAAAACACAATGCGTTCTGAAAACCTCCCATGTGAATGCCCATCTGTCGCACACGTTACGTTGACATGTATAATATACATTAGGCAAGCGACACGTCACTTTAAATTTCTGATTACAGGCCGATTGTTAAGTAGCTGGCTATTTATAGTTCAATTTAAAGAAATAAATGATTTATTAGAGTAATGACAGTTGCCATGACACCGAATCTAATATACCTATCGCTTCCAACACAGCCATGAGTAAATTAGTTAATGTAATAGGTTGAAACAAGAGCGCTATTAAATTATTAAATAATTATTATCATTATCTTCAGATCATTTTCAATATTTAACAGGATTGCAAATAAATTATGAGAATGGGATAATATAAAATAATTGTATTACCATTTTCACCATTCAATTCGTCTCACGATGATATAGGCCTAGATTCGTTGTAATTTTACACTGTACTTATATAACTTTTGGTTTTACAATATGTCAAATTACGTTTGTGAATATTATTTTATCCAGTTAGGTTGGTTATATAATGAAATGAATAAATCTTTTCAGCTGACTTACTGTCATTGTGACAATATTTCACGTTCGATCAAGAACGCATAACCAGGACGCCAAACTCTTTTTAATGTTCATTGTGACTTCATATAGTAAGTATATCGTGTTCGCCTGCACCAGGTAGCTTACATTGATAATTTCAACTGTACTGTAACGTTTTTGTGAGCTCACCTATCATATTTATTAAGTTGCATTTATATAATTCAATGATTAAGACAATAAATTCATTGAAACTAATTCACATATCAGTAGTGTGAAACTGCTGATTTTCACCCATGCATGTTCACGTATCGGGTATTCTCGACTGCAAACATGTTGCTTCTCATCATTTGGGTACAGTAGGTTGCAGGGACGACCGAAATATTTGTGTACAAATAACACAAGATACTCCACATAATCTAACTGCCATTATGAGGCTTAAGAAGTGGAGTTGTTTTGGTCGTAAGAAAAAACCCTGTTACCATGAATTGAACCCAGGACCATGGGATTGGAACGCAAGCACCTTAACCACAAAAGATGAGATAACCACCAATCTATTCAAATCCACTCATGCCCTATTATAAAATAAGAGTGTTCATCTACATTGAAAATCTCCCCCCCCCCCACCGAACCACGTCTGACAGGCCTAGACACCTGTCGTCCGACGCCACTATAAAGAATAAAAATTTGCCTATTCAGATAATTGCCAATCCCTAATACTGTAGTCTAAAAGCATACTTTTGGGCTATACTAAGCTATAAAAACGCTCCTCATAAACCCTACCAGGAATATTTATTCTGGGTCCTGACAGAGGCTCTTTGGCCCCTTTCTTGGACCCCGCTGTATCATCGGCATCATGCCGACAACACTAATATTTGACGCTCATGAAAAAGAGATCCATGTGATACGGTACGCCATCTTCTTAGGCATCTTACAACAAAGAGCAGTGGCGTAGATATGGTCAGTGCAAAGCACTGGTGTCCGGCCTGTTAAGGGTCCGTTATATAATGCCTAAATTTTATAATTAATAAAAAAAACCCATAGGTTTACTGATATATATACTGATCGATAATTAAATGAAGGTTCCAGAGGCGACAATTACTGATTATTGTTCTAAAGTTTTAAAGTAGGCCTATGAGGTATGAAAGAAACATTTCATAAGATGATTTTTTTTTCAAAACTAGCTACAGCTAAGAATTCTCATTCTTTAAAATCAATCAAATACGACTCTTGAAAAGCAAAAAACATCGTAGCTTCCGAGGGCTTCTTCTGACCCCAACTTGTTTTTATGAACCCTGTATCCCCAAACGTAGCTCTGGTATATAGCCTTCAGTTGACATTGCACATCATCATCATCATCATCATCATCATCATCATCATCATCATCATAGTCATCATCATCATCACGATCATCATCATCATCATCATCATCATCATCATCATCATCATTTATAATGTAGGCTACTGGTGATGGTGATGATGGTGACGTCATAAGCCGGTGTGTCCCGTTCAAACGTTATGATCCAATTACCTAGATACACTTAAATGAACATCGAACGTATACAGGGTATTTCATATTCCTGTTAACTGTACTGTATTATGCTGTAGAACCTTACCATCATTAACAATAGATCATATAAAACATTGTTCATATTCGATTGCGTGCCTATTTTATATAAAAAATCAATATATCCCTTATAAGTGTAAAAATATAAAATTACATTCAATCGATATCACTGATTTGGAATAGTTTCGCCTTAAAATGCAAGTGACTATTAATTTACTTAATTAAATTATTAACTATTGTGCATCAGAAAAAATTATTAACATGAGGCGTACCAAAAGTTCAATATTGAGCCCTTAATATTTCTTTTTATTGTACGTAAATAATATTATTCATTCCTGAAAAGACCTTCATTTATAAGGCTTGCCAGCGGGCTCGCCAGTCATAAGTAAAATAATGGTCCACTATTTATAAATCTCTGTATTTATAGTACAGTAGTTTACCTTCAAAAGAAAAGCATAAGTCAGCCATCCATTAAAATTTGCACCATATTCAAGAAGTGATAATTTTCGCATTGTTTCTAAATTTTCGAGTATGGTACATAGTAAGCCTTTTAGATGGAGGACACTGCCTATCGTGGCTGACTGTCATTGTCGAAGATAAAACAAACATACTGTCGCAATTCTGTCTAGAACATTTGTCTTTCCCCGACGCGTTTCCTTGATGGACAGAAGCTCTCCTGGCCCATCCCCCACCCCATATGGCACTGTATGTCTAAAATTATTTTTTTTAAATGGCTTCATAAAATTGTTTTCTCAAAGGTACCGTGTGCGGCTGGAACTGTATTCATCCGATTTTACATTTGAAAATCTCCACGGGATTAATATCTTCTGAACATATTTCTCATCAAGGCCAATGTTTTCCTTGTAGTACAAGATGAGTAACTGTGTATTGTTCAGCCTGATGGATTTTCCTGGAATTTTCAAGAAGGGTATGAACTCGGTGATATTTCCTTGCCATCCGTAATACATTGATAAAAACACATGTGTATCTCGAATGCACATTAACAGGAGTGGAACTGTTAAGCATATCATAAGATCAATGATGACCAGAATTTGATTGAATATTTCATACGTTTTTACACATTTTATGGTCTCGTTAGTTTGCTCTATTTCGCACAGGAATTCGTTGTTAAGGAAATGTGGTTCTATGGTATGGGAGAGCTGAACAAAGTGATAAACCCAAGATACACATATGAATAAGTAGAGTAGCACTTTAAAGAAGAAATAAGTCAACAAATACGATCGGGAGGCACTCCATTCATTTACGTAGCTCTGTATTATCGAGTGGACTTTTGGCCAATCCGTGCTTTCAGTCGTACTCACTTTGTCGTCTGTCCGTTTCGACGCTTCCGCTTCCAAACACATTTCCCGGCAACACTTAGCAAACCACAGCGCTACCATCGATATCTTCCTGCCACCACAGGCTATCCAAGCGGATACAGGGATTTGTACAAGAATAGCTTGTAGGGTGAATGAGAAAGGTACAAATTCATGGTAGCCGATCAAATTTTCGTTTTCTCTGTACTTACAGTAAGAATTGAAATACTTAGCCGTCTCAGAGTTGGTGACGTATTCGGGTGGTTTACATTTTATACCAGTGTCCGCTGTGTGAGTAAATAATGAGTCATAAGTATACTTTATAATTTTTTGTTATCAAATCCAAAATCATATGCCAAAATATATAATTCATTTGAAGGATGAATAGGCCTACATCAAAATTATAATAGAATAATTATAATAATTTTTTATTGATATTTGTTGTTATTATTATTTTTATAATTTTTAGTATTATATATTATATACGTTATATCATTCAACATCATGAATGGTGTGAATATATTCATACGATGTTTATGCACGTTATACGATGATGATGATATTTAACTTAAACATAGGAGTTAATGATTGGCCTTATTTAAATGTGCTATGTTTTTATGTTCATTCCTGTTATTTACCTAGAAACAAATTAACAGGATAATAATCTATTTATACATGTGAAGCCTCTCAAGCTTTGTGCAAATACTCACATAATAATAAGGTTTACTATAAACTGTCTAAAGCCTCAACAACAGACATATTACTCATTCCATAATCAATTTTAGATCGATCATTATATTTACCAAATGTGTCACGCATTAAAGCTAAAGCGGCTAATAAAACTGGCAGTCGTGACTGTATGATATGGATGGCAGAATCGAACCCTAATAGTTGATTACCCTCGTCTGGAGTGATATACGACAATGATCGAACTACGCCTAATGCAGCAGCCATTCCTGTATTTATCGTCTGCTTTCACGTAATGTATCTGTAATCAGAATAAGTTAAAATAATCCTAACTGCAATCGTTTAGGCCTATGCATTATACAATGTCATGGTGTTAAATAAACTTGTGAGGTCTACACCTGATATATTATATTATATTATATATATATATATATATATATATATATATATATATTAAGATATATTAAGAAATGAATATTTGTTCATTATATACATACATACATACATACATACACACACACACACATACCCACAGACACACACACACACACATATAAATCACAACGGTTTTAAATGATTAGGCTGAGCCTAACTGTTTTACTATAAAAATTGGTACAAACATGTTTCACCACTGCAACTGCCATCTTCGGTGTAACAATGCTTATAAGCTTTTAGAAGTAATTATAGGAGTGAGCAAATGCAATGAAATTTCACGGTAAATGGGCGAACTGAAGCGTATGAAAAAAGGCATGAATAAAGATGAAGAAATACATAAGACCAATGGGTGGTGGAGCATTCATGTTTAGGGAATTAAGCATGCCCGGAGAAGAAATGCATGGATAAAGATGAGCAAATGAATCAGTATGACAGAGTTACATTTATATGTTGTAATTGTCTATTAAGGGAGGGCTGCCCCCACTTTATGCAATGTTTCTTTGATTTTCCGTTGATAAGTGGTATTAAAACATATTATTTTGAAGCAGCTCTTGTTGCAAACGTCCTTACATTTATAGAACTATTTAAGTGTGATATGTTTAAAACATTTTAAATATGTGAATGTTTGTTCGTTTTTAAATGTTCGTTAAGGCGTGTTTTAAAATGGCGATCAAGTTTTGTCGATATAAGAAGTGTTATGCCTACAGCTTCCGCAAGTAAATTTGTATATTACGCCCGAACGAACGAACGAACGAACGATCCCCTTCTTGTTGATGTTCGTTCGGGCGTAAATTTGTATATCGTATTATGCCCGAACGAACATCAACCGGAAGAGGATGCTTAACTGAAAACAGACATGAATTTTAAATGATGTAAAAATTAACTGCGAGTGGAAAAAATAATAATTACGCATGACTTTCATGAATTTTGTCTGTTCACTTGTGCTCTTTTCCATTGCGGTGCGTATTTCCGGACCATAATTGGGTAAAAACGCAATTGTTTGTACATTTCGTAACCATCTTAGTAATCACTACATCGATTTTATGGGTGAAACGGTGATCAGAGGCTAACTTTTATTGTGAAAACAATGTACTGTACGTTGTTAAAATTGGAAGCGTGTAAATCTATTAGGCCAATATTTTTTTACAAAACTCGAAAGTGCACAATTTCTACAATAAACGATTTATTCACTTTGCATATTATTATGACCCTACGTATATACTAGTGTTTAATATTATCTCCATACATAGATTCCTGTTTTTCCTAATTTCAAAAAAATTATAGCGTCAACTGAATTGTATATAGCCGTTATTAAACAATAATTGTACAGCCTTTGACACGGACAGGTCTATCTATTTCGATTTATTTAAGTAGGGATACCACAAGTTTTCAAACTCCAGTGTGACACAATCTTGCAATGACGTCATAATAATTAGTTTATTCAAGTGGGGCCGAGCCGACCCCCCACCCCTCGCTAATTTTTCAAAATAATGAAAAAAAATGGGGGGAAAAAAGGAAAATTGTTATTAGAATTTAGGTCTGAGAGTGCAATTTTCGGCCATCTAGAGGTGACATAATCATAAATTTTCTTACCTTAGTACTGTACATGCAAAGAGACTAAATTGGTGACTGTTTTAAGTTTATCTTATTTGTTTTCATGGTTCGAATACGTAACAAGCTAATCAGAAGATAATAATTTAATTACTTTTATGAATGTTATTTTCCACGAAATATATAAGCGGGCATAAATTTATGATTACCAGGATAACTTGAAAACCTTCTTATTATGAGTATTTTAGTGGCAGGTTCAAGGGGCTCAGCCAGCCGACAACATTTAAAATTGAAAAAAAAAGAAGAAAATTATAATCAAATTTATTATGAGAGTGCCATTTTTGGCCAACTAGAGGTGCCATAATCATAAATGTTATTACCTCAGCCCCAACCATGGTTGGGCTGAGGTGGTCTACACTCGCCATCTTTAAAAGTCCCTTCCTATGCCCCCTCTATTTCATTCCTGGCCAGTGTATTTTGAAAATTTAGTGTAGAAATAAATGTTAATAGCATTCCTTAAAATCAATTAGATACGACTTATAAAAGGCTATAGGCGCCAGAGATTGTGGGGGCTTCGCCCCCTTGACCCCCACCGGGGCCACAGGATTTTCCCCTGGACCACTACCAATGCTTGGACCGTATACAGCCCAAGGCTTTTTTATTTTGCATTTCGTTCCCTCCCCTATTTCAACCACGGATCGACGCCCTTGTTTTGGTTAGTCACTAAATATAGATAACCCTATTCTTGGGACACTACCTTTAAGGGGACATACTTTTTGGTCCTGAAGGTGTCTCTGAGATTCTACTATAATAATAATAATAATAATAATAATAATAATAATAATAATAATAATAATAATAATAATAATAATAATAATAATAATAATAATAATAATAATAATAATAATAATAATAATATCATCAGTTTGCTGTAATCATCTTGATCAAGTGATTTAAATTCCAAGAGTCATTCTATTTCACTACCGTAATCGAAAATATTAATATACTGACTAGTCTAGTCTATGTTCAACACTTTCAAATAATTTGGTGACGTACCGGTAGATTTGATAGCAAAAAACAAAAAGAAAGAGTGATAACTTACCAATAAAACACGAGTGTCTCTCACTCTCTCGTGAATTAGAATGACCTTTCTATAATGTAGAATATCATCAGACTAGTCGATGCCATGTAGCTTAATAACATATTAAAGTGGCAATTAGGTATGTGTCAATGGTCACAATACAAAGATAAAGTTCGAGGCTGAACATCCGCATATGTATGTTGAAAAAAACAGATAGGGCCTACACTGAGTACTCAAACCCTCCTGTGAGTACATATCTATCGCACACGTTGACATGCATAATATACTTTTTCATTTCATTTATTATTAAAACATTATACAAGAAAAACATACGTTAGGCACGCGACATGACGTTGCCTTCAGAATGTCACTTTAAATTTTTTATACAGGCCGATTAATAAGTAGCTAGTTCTAATTTAATTTGAACAAATAAATTATTCATTCATTTATTAATATAACGACAGTTGCCATGACGCTGATGATCTAAACATATACTTAACGCGTCCGCGACATAGAGATGATTAAATTAGTTAATGCAATATGTTGAAACAAGGGAACAAAATTAAATTGTGAGAACAAAATAGTATTATCATATCATTCAGATCAACTACAATATTTAACAGGACTGCAAATAAATTATATTAATCACGAATGGGATAATATTAAATAATTACCATTTTGGCTTATAATCATTCAATGCTTCTCACAATGATATAGGCCTAGATTAATTGTGATTTTA